ATTCATTCATTCATTCATTCATTCATTCATTCATTCATTCATTCATTCATTCATTCATTCATTCACTCAATCATCCCTCTGGCAACCTGCCCTTTGCTTCACCTGCAACTCAGAGATAGGGACGATACTCCCTATTGGCTGTATCATGCCAATTACAGCCAAATTGGCGTGATCCGGTTGGAAGACGAACTTGTAGAGCGGTACCTCGTGTTTCTGTAAAACAGGCTAAAGGAAATCACACTCTCCTAGTTCTACAGACTAACCTCTATATTGATGAGTTTCTTATCCAAATAGGGGAATCCAAACGTATAGCCAGTGCATGAGATGAACACATCGCAGTCGTAACTTTTGCCATTTTTGACAATTACTTTATCAGCAGTGAATGTGTCAACGTCGTCCTACGATGGTGGATTTTACAACAGATGTATGGTGTCTTAATACAAGCGGAATGGTGACGCTCTTTTATAACGCTTTGGTAATAGGTGGATCAATTTTTTAAATTCAAAAAGGATCTGAAACCGAAACTTTTGATGACCCAATTTGTATAATTTCAAACGACTCCGCCAAGCAGTGTATCTAATTCGTCTAATGATTTCGGTAGTGCAAACAAGAAATGATTGTATTTGCAAGTCTAAGAGACTCAGGAAAGTTCAGCCGACAGTTTAATTTTTTGGAATGTGAAAAGCTTGAAAAATGCTATGCTATGTGGGGTGCTTGGATATACTCGTTACGAAAATCATACCCATTACCCCCGGAAGGGCCTTACTGGAGAATTGTGCTGGTGTACGTTACATGGGACAAAATTACGGATTTGTCTGAAAGGTGGTCTAGTGAACTTAATTGATATGCTGATTACAAAGAACTTACGTAGTTCGTCAAATAAGCTCTCATTGTAGAATTGGGACAGGTAAACGCTAGAAACCTCGATCATCGATCTATTTGAGGAGGAAAAATAAAATAATTTTTGTGTCCACTATGCGACTTGGCCTCAATGGGGATTAGCTTTTGTAATCAGCATGTCAAATAGACTACTTTTCAAATTAGTGATTTCGACGCATAATGTAGCAGTGTAGCTAATCACTTCATTTGTAGAGCTGTAGCAAATTCAAATTTCTCAAACCAGAAGTAAGCTGTGCCTTAAGTTTGTTTGGCTTTTGGAAATATACTTTTAATCGCTTTAATCAGCACAGTGAAGATCGCTGAGCAAGCCACACACGCAACCAAGAGCTAAGTCAAATGATGTATAATATGTTGCCAACAGCTCCGGTTTTTTAGCGAAGAGCCAATATTCCTTTACTGCATGTGCTCATTATCTATCTATAACAAATATCTCGAACGAGTAAGTAGGCCACATGCAAAAGCGGGACTGAGGAGGGATGAGGTTGTGCCATATGCCAAAGCAACTTGTTCTGTTGATGTGCTTGGAACCCCACAAGTATTACAATTGCTGTTGGATTATTGATTGAACGTAACAGGATTCCAAAGCAAGTTCTGACAGAAGTTAGAATCCTTCATTCTATTTATTTAAAACATTACTTCAAAGACAAAATTTCTTTCTGTTTTGTTTATGTGCATTTTCATAGCTTACTTCAAGACTTCATGCAATTGGGAAGACTAGAAAAACGTGTCTAAAACTGGCATCTTTGCTAGTCTAAATAAATGTTTAGTTAAATAAACATGCTTCTTTGTTGAATTGCTTAGAGTAGCTCAATCCTTTTCATGAGCTGCAAGATGAGTCTCTTTCTCTCCTGCCCTCCTCTCTCTTTTCAAGTGATTTATTTGAGTCATGATCAAATTGCAAAAATGATGAGTAACTAATTGAGACGTTAGGTTCAGCATTCAATAAATATCTAAAGCGTTTTGAGCTCAATTACTTCAAAGTAAGTGTTCCAGCTTTCCTTTCCTTTTACGCCTCATACTCTACTATACGTGTTCGAATTGCGTTTGTTCATTTTTGCTTGGATGTTGAGCGAATGCAAAAGTTCACTTTTAAAATTGGCAAGCCGCTTGCACAGATCAAATAAACTTACTGCAATTTGGATATATCCACTACAGATGAGATGACATAATGAATCATTAACAGTCGGATGTTGCTGGAAGAACCTAAAGCAAGATTATAGGAGGGAACACTCAGCAGGCATTCAAATATCTTGCTTTATTCAATTCATGCAGGGCTTTGACCTCACTTTTCCATTCTATATGGTTTTGCGAGAAAATATTTTAAGCGGAATTTTGTAGGGGTGACGTAGTTGGGAATCAGATAGATTGGGGACAGAACTTTCTACCTATGGTTTGGTCTCAGGCCGTACGTGTCGTGATCCATTCTTTGCTGCACAAGATGTTCCATGTAATCATTGGCTACAGTCCAAGGAACAGCATCCATCAACCAGTTATAGAATCTGAGGCACTCTTTTCGGTAATAAGATAGCTGAAGGAAATCAGAAGTTACCTGGTCATGTATATCGTGTCATAGGGCATGCCACAAGTTGCTACTTTATTGAAAATCCACGTGCCTCGTCTGGTCGAAACTGTCACCTTTAAATGT